TTATTGTGATGATGATGGTGGTATTGTTGATGATGGTTGATGTGGTTATTGTAATGATGATGGTGGTAGTGTTGATGATGGTTTAGGTGGTGATGTGGTTATTGTGATGATGATGGTGGTGATGGTGCTAGTGTTGATGATGGAGGTGATGGTGGTAGTGTTTATGATGGAGGTGATGGTGGTAGTGTTGATGATGGTTGATGTGGTTATTGTAATGATGATGGTGGTATTGTTGATGATGGTTGAGGTGTTGATGTGGTTATTGTGATGATGATGGTGGTGATGGTGCTAGTGTTGATGATGGTTGAAGTGGTGATGTGGTTATTGTGATGATGGTGGTGGTGATGTGGTTATTGTGATGATGGTGGTGGTGATGTGGTTATTGTGATGATGGTGGTGGTGATGTGGTTATTGTGATGATGGTGGTGGTGATGTGGTTATTGTCATGGTGATGGTGGTGGTGATGTGGTTATTGTGATGATGGTGGTGGTGATGTGGTTATTGTCATGGTGATGGTGGTGGTGATGTGGTTATTGTGATGATGGTGGTGGTGATGTGGTTATTGTCATGGTGATGGTGGTGGTGATGTGGTTATTGTGATGATGGTGGTGGTGATGTGGTTATTGTCATGGTGATGGTGGTGGTGATGTGGTTATTGTGATGATGGTGGTGGTGATGTGGTTATTGTCATGGTGATGGTGGTGGTGATGTGGTTATTGTGATGATGGTGGTGGTGATGTGGTTATTGTGATGATGGTGGTGATGGTGGTAGTATTGATGATGGCTGTAGGTGTGATGTAGTGATGATGTAGTTGTTGTCGTTTTGGTGATGCTTGAGGTGATACTGCTGATGCTTGAAGTGGCGACAGTAGTTTTGGGGATTATTGTGGTAGTGGTGATGATGGTTGCGATGGTATTGTGTGGTTTTGGTGATGAAGGATGCAGTTGTGATGTGGAGGTGATGTTGTTGAAGATGGTGGTGATGGTGATGACACCGATGCTCGAGGAGGTGATCGTGGTACCGGTGATTATAATGTATAATCATTCATTAACATTCCATCGACCTTCTGGCTCTAGAATATACATCAATATAACAATATTGAGCACAAATTCAATCTTTGACAACTGATTCTTGTTTAGGTGAGACTAAGTTATTTTTTCAGACATTGTATAAATGAGTGAGTGAGTAAGTATGGTTTTACGCCGCTTTTATCAATATTCTAGCAATATCACGTCGGGGGACACCGGAAATGGGCTTCACACATTGTACCCATGTGGGGAATCGAACCCGGGTCATCGGCGTGACGAGCGAACGCGTTAACCACTGGGCTACCCCACCACCCCTTGTATAAATGACATTGTTTAAACCAAGACCGATAAACTTGAAACAGTTAACGTACTGCAATAACTCACCACGGCAAGCATACGCACTGGCACATCCAAACCACCTCGGGGGATTCCAGTATCGAACTGGTCCTTAGCAACCGATGTTAATCGTAACTATAATCGTACGGACATTAGGGAGGCATGAAACAACAAACAAAGGCAGAGACGTAATCAATATCATCATCATCATCATCATCATCATCATCACTGCTGCAACACCACCATTACAAACATCGTCACGACTACAACCACTGCCATCATTCCACAATGCTTCCACCATTGTTCCTGAAACTACAGGGGAGGGTGGGTAGCCTAGTGGTTATAGCGTTCACTTGTCACGCCAAAGACCAGGGTTCGATTCCCCACATGGGTACAATGTGTGAAGGCCATTTCTGGTGTCCCCCGCCGTGATATTGCTGGAATATTGTTAAAGGTAACGTAAAACTAAACTCACTCACTCTGGAAACTACAACCGCGACTACCAACAATCTATACATCCAACATCATCATGACTACCGCAACTACCATCACCATCACTACTACAGACATTATAATCACTACTACAGACACTACCATTACCATCATCATCATCATCATAATCACTACTACAGACACTACCATTACCATCATCATCATCATCATCATCATACTACAGACACTACCATCATCATCATCATCATCATCATCATCATCAGGCACTATCATAACAATCCTTGAAGATCCGGGCTAGAACTGATCTTCAGTAACCCATGCTTGTCGTAAGTGGCCACTGACGGGATCGGGTGGTAAGGCTCGTTGACTTGGTTGACACGTCATCGTATCCCATTTGCGTAGACCGATGCTCATGCTGTTAATCACTGGATTGTCTGGTCCAGACATATAGCTGGAATATTGATGAGTGTGGCGTAAAACTAAACTCACTCACTCACTAGCATCACCATCGTCATCACTACTACAAACCTTATCATCACCATCGTCATCACTACTACAAACACTATCATCACCATCATCATCACTACTACAAACCCAATCATCACCATCATCATCACTACTACAAACATTATCATCACCATCATCATCACTACTACAAACATTATCATCACCATCATCACTACTACAAACATTATCATCACCATCATCATCACTGCTACAAACACTATCATCATCACCACTACAAACATTATCATCACCATCATCATCACTACTACAAACATTATCATCACCATCATCATCACTACTACAAACACTATCATCACCATCATCATCACTACTACAAACCCAATCATCACCATCATCATCACTACTACAAACATTATCATCACCATCATCATCACTACTACAAACATTATCATCACCATCATCACTACTACAAACATTATCATCACCATCATCATCACTACTACAACCACTACCATCACCATCGTCATCACTACCACAACCACATCACTTTCATCACTACCACAAACACTATCGTCAGCATTACGAGCACCGCTATCATCGTCACTATAACAATCACCACTACCATCACCAACAACAACAAGCGGCGACATATCCCGACTGCAGCAGTTATTCTCTTCACATGTAAATAAATATAAGTGAACAGTGTAAAAGTCCAAATGCGAATATCCAAACGTCTACTCACAGGTCACGTCCTGACGCGCACGTGACTGTAACTATGACAAATCACCCAGATGTCGAAACTGTCATTTGGCAATTAATGCTTTAGATGTAAAATACGTACAATAAATACAACATACTTTTATTTCAACAAGGGCTTATAAATATTCATACCCTAATTACGTCTTTGATTATTAGTTTATAGCGCATGCAAAAAACTAATGCCATTGAAATCAGCCTATCGGTAATTACATTGACACTAGCGGCAATGATATAACTTTCATTTAAATGATCTCACAGAATTTCACATGTAGGCATTGAATTGTAAATGGATATAATTAAAAAACACTAACTAAAACACAGGCATCTTCCTTTGTTCGTTTACAGTAGTCATTACATTTTATTAACACGTTAACAGTTAACATGTTATCTAAAGAAGTCTTTTTTTAAGTATGATGAGATCTGGTTTTCGGCTTAGCACAGATATAAGCAACATTAATCTCCCATACTATAATCGTCATTCCCCACAACACTGAAATAAACACGTGTATTACTACGCCACTTTAAATACCTTGGTTGTCATTGTAAACAATGAGAGCTCATCTTACGAACATTCATTCCGATTTCAGATAGTAAAGAAAGGCAAACATTATCACATCACAGGTAATATGAATCGCAAAAGATAAAACGCTTGTATATATATTCCATCTGAACATTAACACGAGTACTTTAGAACGCGTCGAGGCTTGCGTTTATGTGGCATGTGCTTTTGTCTGGGGAATAATAAATCAATAAAATAAGCTGCAATAAATATTGTGTCATTTGATAATATCAACACGGACTCTTTGAAACTCAAAACAAACCTTCAATAAAATAAATAAACGTAATCATGGATATATAAGCAATTTAAGTCCTTTTGGGGAGATAATTAAGTCATGTAATATATAGTTTCGTTTTGAATCAAATTTACATTTTAGACAACATATATGCTAGTGATTAATGCATGAATATTTATTAAATGAATATGTGTATAGATGTTTCTTTAAACATCCACTTCTTATTAATGTGACTAGCGTTGGGGTGCGGGAAGGGTGGGGAAGGGGTGTTAAGTCCTAACGGTTCTTTCCCTACCAGCCTCTGATAGGTACATCCTAAAGTTGCGTGTACCGATGAGAGTGCTATTTTAACACCGGCTTAACACCACATCGATATTTGCACTCCGCTGGGCCTTATCAGCCTATTGTTTATAACTCGATACCCTTGATTAATCGAAGTGACTGATTGATTGAACAGACGGGGTAATCAATAACCGTTTGTGTAAGTCCCTCGAAAGGATTTAAATTACTTTACACGTTGTAATAAAATAAACACAAAAAGTACTATTTTTGTATAAACTAATTTTTATATTTTTTGTTCTGCAATAATGACACCTTCATAATGGATGACGAAATGATAACAACTACTTCATCTCAATAAGTTGGAAAAAAAAGAAGAAATTTAATGTTATTTGTAAAAAATTACTTCTTCATCTTAATTCAATCAATATTTTGGCTCATTTGTGTGCTGATTGCAATAATAAATATACACATGATAATGTCAATCAGTTCATAACCAGAATAAATTATTTAAAAAAAAAAAATTAAACAAATAAAATAAAACACTGAAGGTTTACAGATTTATTGAAACTTCAAAAATGCGAATGAGTGTAAGCTAGATACAATTTAAACGAATCTCGGCAGTGTCCCCAGATATCTGCTCAATAGCTTAACGCCCAACTTTCACGTCTAAGTTTTAAACGCGCGATTCGAGATAATCCTGTCAATCTATAACTAAATCTTGGTTGTGACAGAGATAGAATATAAACAGTAAAAATCCAACGCCGAACTTTGCAAACAGCAAAGGAACGATGTAGAAACTGGGCTCTTCTTTCATTCACCAGCGCACTATATCTAGCTGTGCCCCAGCGGAAGGAGACAGCTGCGTTGTTCGGCCATATTGTGTGCTCCGCCATTTGAACAATCGTGTTCACTTGGAAGATACGATCGCTTCAGTTTTCTGAGGATTTTTACACGCTAAGTGGATATATTTCCATTTTGGAGTACCGTATCGTCTAGTTAAACCTCTGTAGTAGCTGATGTGGCAATTTTTTGTGTGGTTTGGCTCCAGTTAGAACGGAGTTTCGATGGAGACCGAACCTAAACCACAGCGCTTTCAGCGGAACAGGCGGCGTGAGAGAGCATATCAGTTGCAGCAGGAAAAACAGGGTACACAAGATGCTAGTGGGGATGAAGGGGATGAATCCCCACCCCGCACTAGCAAGGATAAGGGGCGTGGCAAGCCCAGGAGACGAAGGAACAGTTCGGTAGAAGAGGATATCATCGACGGTTTTGCTATAGTCAGCTTCAAAAGCCTAGAAGATTTGGAGGTAAGTGCTCACTCAATGCTCTAGCCAAGATCGCAAGCACATACAACAAAGACGGTAATATTGCCAGCGAGCCCATATGGCCGAAATACACGTGCGTGCTCTGGTATGTACCACATTTGTTTATATACTGAGGGGGAGATTGGATTAAATCATCGATCGCTTCCCCCCATCCTATTTTAGCGCACCTGCACGCATCCCCCGTCTTTTGTGTGTACTAGTGTCAGTTTCTGGCTGCCGATCTCGGGCACGTTTCAACTGGCTCGTGAGGCGCAGAGGGGTCTATCAGAGACCACCAGATCAGCTGTAGAGATACTTAAAATTAAGGATTAAAAATCATATCTCCTTGTGTTCCTGCTACTTCCGTGATGACTACCTCAATTATCATTAATCTAAACAAGGGAGTTAATTCGCCTCATTAACGTCTGATTTCGTTGGTGTTTATCAAGGGCGTTGTACATTTCACCTCGGACGTGTGTATATCACCTGTGTGTATTTCCATGAAATTGACAAGTTTACACTAGTGTGAAATAGTTCTGTTAGGCTATCAAGGTGTCCATCACAATGTATGAATTTGAATTAACACCAACCAGTTTCAATACATATCACACCTGTCTCAATATACATGTTTATCAAATGAACCTGTCTACAACTGTTCAGTCCATTTTGGGCCCTTCACAGTTATTTGCTTTTAATTGACATCTTGTTTTGATAACAATTGATTTTGCAAATACCGCTAGTCTGATGAAAGCAATGCCTAACCCATAATCAGATAGGCAGAAAAATTGATTTGCAATAACAGTATTGACTCTATTTAAGTCAATACAAATTCATGGGCAAAATGAAAAGGCGAGTTATGAATATGTCATGTGGATATAATATTGCAGTATTTTGCTATTTTGCAATGTCAGCCAGGAGGAAAGTGGTATACAAACATCAAATGATTTTATGGAAAAGGTTAAAGTGTCATAAAATTGTTTTTTCTCAAAGCTGATTCATTACCACCGTGTTTATTTTCATGTGGAGCATTCAAACATACAAATTGCCTGTGAAGTGCTTTTGAGTATACAGACATTTTATGCTGGACAGCATATACATTTAGATGTCATGTCGTCAGTGTGTTTTTCTACTAAGCTAGCTATCTTAATGATCCTTGTTAACTATCTGTCGTGATTCTGAACACATAAAGTAATACCACAGACCTAGTGTAATTTAAGATCAATGTCGATACTGAAGAGCTTGTTTTCAATGACAAGCCTGATCTATAGATCATACAGACATCATCCAATTGATCTTGATGTTTCTGGTTACTAGAGGTATTATAGTAAGAATACAGTGTTTTTAAAGATGGTTCTGGGACTCTAAAGTGCAGTTCTTCAGTGTTTGTATCAAAAGACTGCAAAATCTTCATCTTTTGCCCAAGGTCTATGACAAGGACCCTTGGTGTTTCAACCTTTATGATTAGTTTAGAATACATATATCATGGATAATGTAACTAATGGTGCTTGTGTAGTGCAAAATACTTTCAATCAAATTTCTTTCATTAAATCAAAGTTATACCATATTTGGTATACTTCTTGTAACATTTCTCGAGCACTTGCCAGAGAAATATATCAAATTGTCACAACAAATATGTTTCAAGGCAGTTGTGTATGCCCATAAAGTGTTCCTATCATTCGCAATTTCTAGATGCCACTCATAAAGGGTTCGAACCCTCGCGTCACACTAAACATGGTAAAACATGGTACTTGTTGGTCCCTGCCTGACTCTCAGTATTAAGGAAATAACTCAAGGGTTGATCTTCACTGGACCCACGAAGATCTGGTTTACAAGTGGTCTTCAGCAACCCATGCTTGTTTTAAGAGGCAACTAATGGGATTGGGTCATCAGACTTGCTGACTTGCTGAACACAATTGCGTAGATTGATGCTCATGATTTCAGTCACTGGATTGTCTGGTCCAGATTGGATTATTTACAGGCCGCTCTCATACTGCTGGAATATTGCTGAGTGCGGCATTAAACAAGAAACAGACAAAAATGAAACTGGTCTGCTCTAAGCCAATTTACTGTGTCTGAGCGAGATACCCATGTAAAATTGTGTTATGATGTCTCAAATTGCTGGCACCATAAAAACAGCATTGGTCTGGACTAGTATGAACACACACACATAGACACTCATACTTGCACAGTGCAATAGTCTTAACGTGATGTTAAACCAGTGATTACTTCACCTATTGTCTTGATGTACCTGCTGATGAAGATAACCACTAAGTGTTTTCCTGAAGCTGATGCTCAATCGTCAGTCTGTGCTAAAAGGTTGGCGTCTACAAACCAAAACGTCTGTTATCATCATTTGTTTTGGAGACATTATATGGACTTGCTTGCTGAGTTTATTAGTGAGAATTCTATCTGAATCTGACTTCAGACGAGTTGCCTGAGTCGCACATTGTATCATGCAGCTGAATACTGTTCCGAAGGAGCCGCTCAAAACATACAGCTGAATACTGTTCAGAAGGAGCTGCTCAAAACATACAGCTGAATACTGGTCAGGAGGAGCCGCTCCAAACATACAGTTGAATACTGTTCAGGAGACGCTCAAAACATACAGCTGAATACTGTTCACAAGGAGCCGCTCAAAACATACAGTTGAATACTGGTCAGAAGGAGCTGCTCAAAACATACAGCTGAATACTGTTCAGGAGGAGCCGCTCAAAACATACAGCTGAATACTGTTCACAAGGAGCCACTCAAAACAGTGTGAAACTAGACTCATTGACCCCTGTTCAGAAAATAATATGTGAATATTGGATGAAGCTGACAGACTCCACCTCACAGCTGATGTCAACAGCTCTCCAGTTGGCTTAAAATAGCTTGTTAATAATGTTCTGTTGTAAATAATGAGTAGAGACACGTCTGTGAAGGAAAGACCTATTGAAATACTTGTAACATTATCCATATCATGTGTTCTCTGAATCACTGGTTGAATCGTATCCCATACCACCTGTGTTTGTAAGTCAGGAGGTTCTTGTCGTGCTTGTCATCTTTCATGTAAGTGAAGATTTAGGGGTTCCTATATTAGACCGAAGCAGATGAGCTTGAAGACCCCCTTCCCTTTATTTCCAACAGCTAATCTGGTGTTCCCATCTCTCTCTCTCTCTCTCTCTCTCTTTCTCTCTCTCTCCCCCTCTCCCCCCCCCCCCCGATATTGCTGGAATATTGCTAAAAGTGGCATAAAACCATACCTCACTCGCTCGCTCACTCACTCGCTCACTCACTCAACTAATTATAAGAAAGTGCTGTTGACATAGTGTTCATTTAACTGGGGTGAGTTTTGTTCGACGTAGCTTTAAGCAATATTCCATATTCCAGCAAAATATCACAGCAGGGGACACCAGACATGGTCTTCACATTAACTTGGAAACATGTCTGCTTAATACGGTGTAGTTTCTATCTATATTGTCTAAATTATCATATTTGCCATCTGTGATATATTGGCTATTTATCTGTGTAATTTACATATCTGTATATATGATATGGATAGTAGAGTTTCTATCTATATTGCCACGATTAACAATTTACATGATCCAGAGATATTTCATTCTCTGGTGTATATACACTATACCAGATATTTATCGCACTACCGTTCCATGTAGAAACAGTGACAGTAGTCTTTGAGCTATGTCTGTAAATCGTAAGTGTTTGGGGAATTGACAGGATTTAGTTGCACAAAAAGTATTTTCATATGCACGTGCTCCTTTCTCTCTGTGTGTACCATACCCAACACCTCACCCCCGACCCCTAGACCTGACCCTCAATTTGTAAGTGTCTCAGGAATTCACTGTTATTTAGAGAGTCTCTCCTGTAACAATGACTTCAGTTTTTACTGTTTAGAATACAAACAGCGCTATCTCTACAGCTGCCGAAACATTGTGATGATGTTGTGGTAGTGCCATGGTGAAAGTGATGCTGTATAGTTGTCAGTGCCAGGCCAGCTTTCTGTGTCGTTATTAGCTGTAGCAAAGATTCTCATCAAGTTTGTTTAAGATGTTGATAATCACGTACTTGGCCACCAGTATGGTTAAATCAAGTGGTTGTCATAACCCCAGCCTGAAATGATTTAGAAGTCCCTACTTTGAGACGTTACATCAGCAAACATCTTCCACATAAAGAATCCTTTGTTTTGAAACGGTAATATATAAACACTGAACAAAGAACGTTAATAGTTTAAGAGATATTTTTGTGAAATTATGTTTTCTGTCTTTCCTACTAAAAGATTTACTCCAAATATTCACCAGTCCCTAACTTGTATTACTTGTTTGAGTGGCATTTTAGAAGTCGTTTCATGTATCACTCTTGCTTGACAACGGTACAAGAATCTGTATCGAAACGTCGCACTCACGAAAATAAAGAAGTTATTATCCATAAAACTTGTTATATATCCTAACTTGTATTGTTCAGTTTGTTTCTAATCCTAATTGTCACAATGGCTTGGTATGAACTTACACACAAGCCCAAGATACTGTGCTTGCCTTTTAAGCATTACATGTAACTCTGATTCTTTGAAGTTTTTAAATGTGTACTTCGAAATGTTTTTGGAAATCATAATCTTAGTCCTTTATTTGCTTAATAAAAAATGTCAATCTGCTTGAGGATTAATAGAAACAGTTGAAGCTGCTTCCAGAAATCACTAACTTGAAACAGTATTTCACAAGTTGTTTTAACAGAAACAGTATTTCACAAGTTGTTTTAACAGAAACAGTATTTCACAAGTTGTTTTAACTGGACTGTGTCCCTTAGTAGTACCTGTGAAGATCCAGGTGAAGATCCGGGTTAGAATTGGTCTTCAGTAACCCATGCTTGTCGTAAGAGGCGACTAACGGGATCGGGTGGTCAGACTCGCTGATTTGGCTGACACATGTCATCATATCCCAATTGTGTAGATTGATGCTCATGCTGTTAATCACTGGATTGTCTGGTCCAGAGTGGATTATTCACAGACCGCT